TTGATCATTTAATGAACACAGGTCAGATTTTGGCAAGACAAAAGTTTTGTCGCCTACAGAGAGTAATGTGAAAATTGAACAAATAATTTACTTCAAATACAAAAATATGTTGCATAACATCAGTGAATTAAGTAGTGGTGCTGTGAGATCCATATTTAATATGTTGTATGACTTCCATGAGCTTGAAGGACTGCATCCATGCGGTTCGACAATGATTCATACAATTTATTGATGAAGTCATCAGGAATAGCAAAGAAAGCAGTCTTACATGCCTCCCAGAGTTCATCAAGATTCTTTGGTTTCGTCTTCCATGCTTCCTCTTTCATTCTACCCCAGACATGCTCAATGATGTTCATGTCTGGTGACTGGGCTGGCCAGTCCTGGAGCACCTTGATCTTCTTCGCCTTGAGGAACTTTGATGTAGAGATGGAAGTATGCGATGGAGCACCATCCTGCTGCAAAATTTGACCCCTTTTATGGTTGGGAATGTAAGAGGTAGCTAATACTTCTTGATATTTTAGGCTATTGATATTGCCTTCCACCTTGCAAATCTCTCACACACCCCCATACTGGATGTAACCCCAAACCATGATTTTTCCGCCACCAAACAACTGTTTTCTGGGTGAATCTCGGATCCATGCGGGCTCCAGTAGGTCTCCTGCAATATTTGCGGCGGCTGTGATGTAATTCAACCGAAGATTCATCTGAGAAATCCACCTTCTGCCACTTTTCCAGCGTCCATCCTTTTAGCAGGCTGTGGGCCTTGGCAAATGCCACACGTTTTTTAAATTGCCTTTTGTTTAGTGCTGGTTTCTGGGCACTGATTCGACCATGGAGGCCATTTTGAGACAGAATTCTACAAACTTTTCCTGGTTGACACGGGGACTTGAGGTGACCAGGCCTGGTGGAGATCTGCTGCAGTGGAAAAGGGGCTGGCCTTGGATTTTCGAGCCAACAAACGGTCCTCCGAGCAGTTGTCTTGCGGGGTCTGCCGGACCTGGGCTTGTCAAAAACATCTCCAGTCTCTTCAAATCTTTTTCTTATTCTTTGTACTTGACGCTGAGATACATTGAAGGTGTCAGCCACCTCAGCAGTGGATCTGGTCTTCAGCCTCTTGATAATCAACGCTTTGGTCTCAGGGTGAATCTTAGGCATGTTGTCAGAGGTCAAGTTGCAGTTGATGTGAAGGTCTGGTGTGCTGGGGTTCTTTTTATACACACCCACTAATTGATTGATCAATTATTGATCACAGATGAGGCTGTAATCTAGGATTGGGTGCATCATATGACAAGGCGACAAGACTTTTGTCTTTGCAAAAACTGACTCAGTGGGCTTTACCAAGCTGTGAACGTTAGAATGCTTTTCAGCAGTTTCGTTTGGCACCAAAACATTATTTCAAAAGCTGTTGGGATTGAAATCATCCATTTCTTGTAAAAAAAAATTGATTACAAATATATTTGAGGGGCACTTAATGTCAACTTGTACCCAAGCGCCAAAGACTTTTGTCAGGGACTGTATACAGACTGTCCATGATGGAACTTCAGAAAGAAAATCTGTCCCTCAAAGCTAGACCCAGACGTTTAAGTGCTCAAGATGGTACAGCCAAAGCAGCCATCAAATTAAGAGGGAACCTCAAAAGTAGAGATGTTTCTCAAGCATGGCATCTGAGCTCAAACCACAAGCAGAATGTTCGACCATTCCAGAAAAGCGCGTTGTCTTCCTGTACTATTCACTCACAGGTTCTAATGAGGCTGATTTTCTCCTATCATTTGGCCATGAAATAGAAAACACAGTTACATGCGGAAAGATTAAGTCTTCCAAGCCCGTCGTTCTGCCATTCAGTGTAAAGTCAAATAGGATGATAACCATACTCAACCGACTTGGTTACAGTGTGACCAGTCTTGGATCTGCTAACATGAAAGTGTGTGCGTTCCTGAAAAATGTTAAGCTGCAGAGATGAACTGTCAAATGGACTGACATGCACAAACGTGTGCATGTTTCATAACTGCAGAATGATCGAGGACCTGACTTTAAAGTCGGGTGTCAGATGGCAGTTTGAGGAGTGACAGTGTGGTGATTTGAATTGGCTTTGGTCAAGGTGAAAATGTGTATGGGTATAAAAGTCATGTGAACTATAACTTAACTGCCCCTCCACAAAGTTATTGTATCTGAATATGTCACCCACATGGAGGATTACAAAAATTCTTATAAGACTTTGCCACAGATGGTACCAAGAAGTGATATTTGGGGCAGTTCTTTTATGACAAAGAAATGAGAACTGTCGGAACAATGGGCCGTCAGAAAAATGAGCCATTACAACAATGCGCCGTTGAAACAATGTGCCGTCAAAAAAATGTGCCGTCGGAACAATTAGCCATCGGAACAATGGGCCTGTCGGAACAATGGGCTGTTAGAACAATAGGTCATCAGAACAATAGTCCATCAGAACAATAGTCCATCAGAACAATGTGCCATCGGAAAAATGAGCCATCAAAACAATGCGCCGTTGGAATAATATGCCATCAGAACAATGCGCCGTTGGAATAATATGCCGTCAGAAAAATATGCTGTCGGAACAATTAGCCATCGGAACAATGGGCCTGTCGGAACAATGGGCCGCCAGAACAATGCGGCATCAGTACAATGGGCCGGCAGAACAATGGGTCGGAGGAACCATGGGTCGTCAGAACAATGGGCTGTCAGAACAATGTGCCAGCGGAACAATGGGCCCGTCAGAACAATGCACCGTCAGTACAATGGGCCGTTGGAAACAATGGGCCTGTCGAAACAATGCACCGCCAGAACAAATGGGCTGTCAGAACAATGCACCGGCGGAACAATGGGCCTCGTGGAAAACAATGGGTCGTTGGAACAATAGCCCTGTCAGAACAATGGGCTTTTAGAACAATGGGTCATCAGAACAATGAGCCATCAGTACAATGGGCCTGTCAGAAGAATAGGCCGTCAGAACAATGCGGCGTCAGTACAATGTGCTGGACGATCCATGGGTCGTCAGAACAATGGGCTGTCAGAACAATGTGCCGTCAGTACAATGGGCCATCGGAACAATGGGCCTGTCAAAACAATGCGTCGTCAGAACAATGCGCTGTCAGAACAATGCGCCGTCAGAACAATGCGCCTGTCACAAAAATGGGCTGTTAGAATAGGGCGTCAGAACAATGGGCCATCAGAACAATGGGCCGTCAGAACAATGTGCCGTAAGTACAATGGGCCGGTGGAACAATGGGCCTGTCGGAACAATGGGCTGTTAGAACAATGGGTCGTCAGAACAATGGGCTGTTGGAACAATAGGCCTGTTGGAACAATGGGCCGTCAGAACAATGTGCCTGTCGGAACAATGGGTCATCAGAACAATTGGCCATCGGAACAATGGGCCTGTCGGAACAATGGGCCTTTGGAACAATAGGCTGCTAGAACAATGGGTCGTCAGGACAATGGGCCATTAGAACAATGAGCCGTCGGAACTGCCTCCGGCCGTTGTGTTGTGGACTAACAGTTGTGGGCACAAAGGTAAAACTGAAACATCCAAACTGGTGAAAACAGGAGGATTTAATAAAATGTCAGACTTTCCCTTTAAACTGGAAGTTTTTATGTTATAATATTAAAATAGACTGTCATCAGTGCAAACAGCAGGTGGTACTGTTTAGTGCAGGAAGCTCTCTGTAGGCCAGTTAGCTACAGCAGAAATTAAGTTTTCTGCTGTTCAAGCTTCAAGTCAGAAACGGGAAGTAACACATCTTTAATAAAGAAACAGTAAGGTTCAAAGACTGCAGCTTTAAGTCCCTCATCACTGTCATCCACTTGAGTCTCTGATATCAATATCTGCTAATGTTAACTACCTTTGATCATGGACACCCTGATACAGTATTTTATAACCCATTAAAATAACCCAAAATATCAATTTGAATAGGTTTTCACTTTTAAACTTTGCAGATAAAATATCTTAAAACGTTCAAGGTTTGAAGGTATTTAACAAAGAAAGAATAATATGAGATGATTTAAATGAATTAAATGCTCTTTTAAGTGTAAAAAAACATTTGCAAAGGGACTATTAATAGATCAATTAATGGATTGTAATCTACTAAAATATTTTAATAGATTATCTCACCACAGTTTAAGAATAAAAACCTTAAAAGCAATTTAATAGAAAGAAAGAGTTCAATCCCATTCAAATGTACCAAATAGCATGAAATAAATACATAAATTGAATAAATTGTATACTCTGTGGTCAATTTCACACTGTGCAGATAATCCATTAATGAACTATATTTGGGTCAAACAAATGAATATGCACCTTCGTTGATAGATGGAGGTTCCTTCATTAAAGAGTACTGTATTGTCCCATAGAACATGACAGTGATGTCAGTGATGTCGCTTTTCTCCACACAAAGTACTTATTGCATCAACATTTCTTTAGGTGAGCCGTGAACACATCTTTGAAGGTCCGTGCGGCTGGTTCTCTTTTGTTCGGTGGTGTGTTCACTGGCTGTAGTTCTCTGATTCAGCCTCACAGTGAGTCTTGTTTCTACAGAAGTTCCTGAAACCACGTCCCCACTTTAGAGTCACAGTGGCCATTTCAAACAGTCTGAGGATCAGCGGATGAGGATTACTCAAAGATTGAAAAACTACTGTTACTAAAACGTGAGTGTTTCAGATGAACTGAAAAGCCGTGAGATCAGCAGCAACAGATCAACCAACAGCTTAAATCAATCAGAAACTTCATTAAAACATATTAGTTAACTTATAAACACATGCCTCTGGATGCGTTAAGGGTTATTTCAAAGCATGTTTCTATTGTTGTCAAATCTTTCTGTTGTTTCATGTCAAATATGGTGAAAGATGTTACTTTGGTGTAAACAGCACCACCTTTCCACCAAATCAAAACCCACCTGTTCAAAACTGCTTTTAATGTGACCAATATCATGTATTTTATGTTTTTAGTGTATTGCTTTTATATATGATGATTTTAATGTAAAGTGTCTGAGTATTATGAAAAGCGCTATATAAATAAAATGTATTATTATTATTATTATTAAACCAGGGCTACATTTAGGGTCCTCTCTTGTTCCTTATTTACATAAAGTGTCTCCAAATGTTTGTAAAGTGACCAAATATTATATTTTACTTTCTGACTTCCGTAACCGGCCGAGACCGTGTGAATCCAACTTACTATGAAATGAGAATCCCATAAAATCGTCTTATTTAACCTTTGAAACAACACTGAATATCCAGCAAGACTCATTTTCAGGAGCTTATTGTCGAGATTTAAGTTGTATTATTATTCATTTAGCATTCAGTTATTTAACATGTTTACAGGATTCATCAGATTATGTTGAGTGCAGTGTTGCACTTTAATTTAGACGCACCTTATGGTTTCAATTAAGGTTTGAACAATAAATATATTTATGGAATATTATACATTGATATACAATTCTTTTGTTAATGCTTTTTGGATCATCAATATAAGGGATTATGTTTATTCTACTGTGTTAACATACGATATTAAAATTGTTAAATGTTCCATGATTTATTTCCAAATCTGCAGTGAACCACAAACTTACTTTAATAATCAATGTCCTTTTAATCGGGATATAATCCATTCATTCATCTGTCAACAGAATCTAGTAAATACCAAACATGTGATTTTATTAATGATCAGTATCCTCTCCTGTTGAAGTTATGATATGATAAACAAACAGCTGAAGGTCTTGTTGTGCTCGTATTAAAAGTCTCCCTTCAGTGACTCACTGAGTCTCTGTAATGTACAAATACATTAGTATTCGTATACTTATCTCTACAGCTGAATGAATGACCTCTTTGTGGCTTTATTGTCACATACGAGTGAATTTGTGTTTAATTTTGGCATTTCAAAATAAAACCTTTCAGCAGTTTAAAATGGCCGCCGTGTGGTGAGAGTCACATGACCAGTACAGACAGCATCACCTCTGACTGGTCAGTCTGCTGTGGAGGGGCCGGACTTTGGACAGGACTTTGTGAGGCGGGTCCGTCATGGTTGTCACGCACTTCGTGTTGGCGGGGAAGGGTGTTACCGGGGCGATGGTGGGCGGGGCGATTGCTGTTGTCGTAGTTGTTGTCGTCGTGGTAACTGCAGGCGGGTTGTCGGTTACTGTGGCGACAGGTTTGGCCAGAGTGGTCTGGATCTCAGCCCTCCTGGCGAGAGCCGTCCTCAGCTTCTCCCTCATCTGGTCGATCTGTTCCTGCAGCTCCTGCAGCTCACCGGGCCGGGGGGGCGGGGGTGCTACAGCAACAGAAGGAGGCGCAGAGGTATCGGGTTGGGCAGAGGAGAAAGCAGAAGAGGAGGATGATGCGGGTCGGGAAAGGAGCAGGCTGGCAAGTGAAGCCGCTGGTCCTCCGTTCTCACACAGTCTGCTGTTTGGCCCCGCCTTTGGCTTGTCTGGTAACTGCCCTTCAGATTTGGCCCCGCCTCCCTTGGCGTCAGACGTGGCGATGCGAGCGAGCAGGCGGCGAGTGTTCAGGGTCTCCAGGTTAAAGTGGACTTGTTTGAAGTCTCGGGCATCCTTAGCGGCGGCCTTACTGGCCTCATTGTTCCACTTGGCCGAGGCTCCGGGGGCCGGCGGAGCAGGGGGGCCAGAGGGGGGCTGAGGCTTCTCGAGGTTACAGCTGAACAGAAACAGAGTCACAGTTCATTCTTTACATTGGAAACAGCAGTTTATAAGAAGAAACTTGTGATACGGTCACGAGCTCCAGAACAAGTGGACCTTGAGTTGAGGTTATTTTGTAGCAGCTTCACTTTGAATGTTGACCTCATCACCTTTGATATCTAAACTGCATGGTAAAATAAACATGTTGATGACATCAGACATAAGACCAACCTTTTCTCTTTCTCAGCTCGCTGCCTCTTTACGTCTTCATACGTCATATTCAGAGCTCGATGGATTTTCTGCCAAACACACAGAAACATTTTCCTCTGAACAGGAACAACATCAGAATCATCAATGAGCTGTTAGCGTTACACAGTAACGTTGTAATGTTTCAAGAGATTAATGGTCCTCTGCACCTCCTCAACACTCTTCAGAACCTCTTCAATCACCTCAACACGTCCTCTGCACCTCCTTAACACTCTTCAGAACCTGTTATATCACTTCAACACGTCCTCTGCACCTCCTTAACTCTTTAGAACCTCTTCAATCACCTCAACACGTCCTCTGCACCTCCTTAACATGTTAGAACCTCTTTAATCACCTCAACACGTCCTCTGCACGTCCTTAACTCTTTAGAACCTCTTCAATCACCTCAACACGTCCTCTGCACCTCCTTAACACGTTAGAACCTTTTCAATCACCTCAACACTTTCTCTGCACCTCCTTAACTCTTTAGAACCTCTTCAATCACCTCAACACGTCCTCTGCACCTCCTTAACTCGTTAGAACCTCTTCAATCACCTCAACACGTCCTCTGCACCTCCTTA